GGCGGGAGCAGGTGCGGCCGCCCGGCACCGCGGGGGCGGAGCGGGGGGCGGTGGCGCCGGGCTGGGCCGGCAGGTGGGGGCTGCCGGGAGGCGGAGGGCGAGGAGCCGGGTGGGTTTGTCCGCCCGCCTCTGGAGGTGCGGCCGGCGGCACGGCGCGGAGAGCGGGCTGCCGCGGGAGGCGCACGGCGGTGGCGGTGACCGCGTCCGCAGCCCGGGCCGCGGAGGGGCCGGCGGGGCCCCTTGCTGCAGAGCCAGATGTACGGGACGCGGCACTGCGAAGGGTCGGCGGGGAGGTGCTGGGGGCTGCCGCCGCCGCTGCTGCCGCGGCCGGGGGGGAGCCCTTAGCCGTGCGGGAAGCGGGGAAGCCGTGTCGGGAGCTGTTATTTTCTTCTCCTCCTTCCTTTGCCTTCCCTCTTGTCCCTCCTCCCCCTCCTCACCAAAACCGGGAGAGGAGGCGTGTTCGGTGCCTTGCTGCACCGGTTTTGCTTGGTTTGTTGTTGCAGGGTTTGGTTCTCAGGGTGGCTGGCTTTTTTCTTTTTTTCTCTTTTCTCTTCCAACCTCCCCGCCTTCTCCTTTCCTCTCCTTTGGCCCATCGCATGCTCGGATCCGGCTGGATCCTTCCTTTGCTTTTCGGCGGTGCCTCTCGGAAGGGGGAAGGGAGAGCTGGGATGAGTGCAGCTTGACGCACAGGCGAGGAGCGGGGGGGCACCGCCGGCAGCTGCAGCGGTTCGTGGCCGCAGGCTGCGGGTGAGGAACGGAGAGAGCGAGGGGCTCCCTCGGTGCCTCCCCCTTTCTTCGCCCCAGTCCTTCCTCCCCTCCTCCCTCTCTCCCTCCCCCATCCGTCTCCTGCCGGGTCCGGCTGGGAGCGTGTGTGCAATATCTTACGTTGCAAGGTGTGTGTGTGTGTGCGCGGAGCGGAGGGAGGAAGGACTCGCGAGGGAGCCGGGACTGCCCCGGCCCCCCCTATGTGAGCCTCCCCGGGCGGCTGGATGGCGATAGACCGGCGCCGTGAGGCGGGCGGCGGGGGCCGGCCGCTGCCCGAGGAGAACGGCTCGGTGCCGGGGGCCGTGGGGGGGGGCGCCGCCGTCCCCCCGGGGCCTCCCCCCGCCAACGCCACCGGGGCCGAGATCCAGGCGCTGCCGGTGCCGCCGCCCGCCGCCGCCTGCAGCCCGCTGCTCCTCGACTACGACGGCTCGGTGCTACCCTTCCTTGGGGGGCTGGGCGGCCGGTACCAGCGGACCCTGGTGCTGCTCACCTGGGTCCCGGCGCTCGTCATCGGCTTCAGCAAGTTCTCGGACTCCTTCCTCCTGGACCAGCCCGACTTCTGGTGCCGGGAGGCGGACGGGCAGGGCAACTGGAGCGGGACCCTGGCGCCGATCCACGCCAACCACAGCGGCAACGGGAGCATCTTCCCCCCACCCGGGCTGCCCACCCCCGCGGGGGGCAACGCCAGCGAGTGCGGCTGCCGCGAGTGGCACTACCGCATCAGAGCCGGCCTCGTCCAAAACGTCGTGAGCAAGGTGAGAAAGGCGACTTCCCTCGGCCCCTTCCCTGTCCAGCCCTCGCCGACCCTCTCGGCACCCGCTGTTTCCAAGGCAAGGGGAGCAGCTGGACACGATACGGATCTGTCCTTGCGTGCTGCAGCCGGGTCAGTCAGGTCCCCGTGGGTCCCGGAGAAAGCCGATCCCACATCCGCGCAGCCCTTTCCCTCCCGGGGTGTCACACCAGGTGTCCAGCCTGTGGATTTGTACCCGCACACTGGTTGCAGCACTAAGCTGCAAAGTTATGTCCTGAAACGGGATCCTGTGTGTCTCTTTGAGTTCCTGGTACTGTCCTGCTGTCTCTGGGTGTCTGTGGGAGAGATGCTGTAGGCATGTGCCCCAGCTGCTGAGGGGGAAGGGTTGCGGAGAGGGTTGATCTTTGTGCGAGTATACTAAAACAGCCCTACACGTCAAAAACCAGGTTGATTTTTGGGGAAGCTGAAGAAATGGTAACTGTTGTGAGTAAAATAAGCCAAAAGTTCTCTTGAATTCTTCTGGTTGTGTACTTATTCTCTTGAAAACTGTCTTGGCAGAGGAATTAAAGAAATATCTCACACAAGTTGTTTTACTTCAGAAGCAGAAAGTGCATGCTGCTGTGTTTTGTGTTTCCCCTTGTAATGACTAAAGTGGAAAATTTCTAGTGAAGAGACTGTGCCGCTTTCTGCTCTTGCTTCATGTTTGCTGAGTAGTGCATATCAAAAAATCACCTTCCCTTTTCACCTGAAAGCTTTTGCTTGTTTTTAGTATTGGCTCTGCAAAAGCCCTGCTGGCTGCAGATGGGCCTTATTGACACTAACAGGGAGCTGGAGCTCCTGGAAATGTAAAATGAAATGGTTACACCAGGGAAGTAGTTCCCTTAATCTCAAGACCCCCTCCTAAGATCAGCAAAAATTACTTCCTGCCTGGGAGCAGTGTTTGGCTTAACTGTATTTATCTAGCTGGGATAAAGAAACGAGGCAACAATCAGATGAGCAACATAATTGTGCTTTGGTCAGCCAGCACGCACTTATATTGAATCATTGAAAATCATTTTGGTTTCTTTTTGTGTACCTTGAAAGTGTGTGCAACAGGGAAAAAACAAATCCCTCAATACCTTGAATCCAGAATGGATTAAAAAGGAAGGTAACCCAGCTACATTCCTTTCATGAGAGAAACATAGGCGCATGTTGGATCAGATTGGTTTGTGATACAGAAATGCATGAGAAAATTAGATATTTAAGAAGGTCATATTTTCTTCTGTTCATATACAGAGACTGAGCTATTCATGTGTTTGCGGATTTAACACTGAAGGTTAAGCATGAAAAAATTGTCTTGAAATATTTTTTTTAGTCTAAACTTTAAAAAAAATTTTTTTGGAAATGTTTGAATCTTTTGAAGGTCATCGTCAAGTTGGCCACAAAAGGTCAAGGGAGAGTTAGTTTGCTGTCTTGCATGCTTCTTTAGAGATAATAAAAAAAGTGTTCTTTGGAAGAACTTGCTGTAAAGGGCAGATCAATTTTAAGGGATAAACAAACATCTGTGGCCCCTGCTGTCTTGTTTTCTATTAGAAAGAATAATAATCATCTTTTGAGACCATGGGTTTTTCCAGTGTGGAGTTTTTATTTTTTTTGTGTGCTCACTTCCAAAAGCCTGGCAGCATTTTTGCTTTGATTTGTAATCCCATGTAATTATAATTAGATTGTTTTCTTGGGGTCAGGATTCCTCTTTAGTTTGTGCTTTGTTTTTGTTTTGGGGGTTTTCTGGGTGGGGATGCTGCCTTTTTTTATTCTAATGAAGAAAGAGAGGAAAAACCCAGACAGAACATCATCATAGCTTGATTTGGACTTCATTTCTTATCAATCCCCGGGAGCTCTGATACTGTGGGAGCAATTCTTGTAACTGCTGGCTCCTCTTACATGCATCTCACTGTCCTTTGTGAGAAAGAGCTGCTCTGGATGAGTTCAAGAGACTGGATGTTCAGATCACCCTTAACTCTCCTCAAAAATACATTTATTTCTGTAATGTATTATGCAATGTTCTCATCTTTCTAAATAGAGTTTTATTAAATCTTAGTCTAATATATGCTCATCTGTGTAGTAGCCAGGGGTTATATTGAAATATCATAAAGAGAGCCAAAAGTATATTAATAAAAAATGTACTTTTGTTTGGCAAGTAAATCCTCTTGTACTTACCTTCAGTGGTCTGAGCTAACAGCTGCTGGATGCTCCATCATTGCTTTGTATCCAGAAACAATGAAACAATTCTGGTTATTTAGCACAAAGCATATTTGATGTGCGTACATATGAGACATCACTGTTGCCCCCATTCCTCAGGGGTAGGATAGCTGTCCTTAAACTGTGTTAAGTTCCACTGTCTCCACAGCCTCTCTTCTAATGGTATGCCCTTCATCAGATGCTGTATCCCTGTCCAGGCTTTCTCAGCTGTCCCTTCCCTGGTGCCTATTTTCCCCCAGACTATGTCATGCTTGGGATTGGAGTGGAGGTCTTGCTATTTCCAGCCCTGCTCGGTGCTTTGTTTAGCCCCACTTCTCTGCATGTTTGCTGCAGCCAGCGGTGGCCTTGCACCTTTCTTGTAGGCTGGCATTGCTGTGTCAGACACTGTCATTATCCTGACCTGCTTGACTGAGTCACTGGGAGCGGTGCTTTTTATAGTGCTGCCAGTCATTAGAACTGGAAATGGTAATAAAGGACATAGTGCTTATTATTTAACACTGCTGAAATACATGTAGTGAAGAGGTCAGATGCATAATTTAACCACAGGGATTCCAGTGGCCATGTTAAATCACCCTTCTGAGCTAATGTCCTGACTTGGCACATAAATCTTGGTCTTTAGCTTGGATGGTACACAAGTATTTTCCCTTAGCACAATTCACTTGCAAGGTTTTTTCACTGCTAAATGATTCTTTGAAGATTTTAATCTATTCTTTATCACAACATTAATATCACCATACTGTTATAAACATAGTGCACGTGTATTTCTTGAAAGGTACATCCTAAACCAGCCCTTAGTCAAAAGGCTAAAAAAAAAGTCTATTTAATGGTCCATGTATCATCTCACCTGTGTCCAAAGGAAGGATGCTGAGAAACACTCTTTTTTTTTTTTTTTTTTTTCTTTGGAGAAGTCTGAGATCTCCTTTTAGGCGTTTGCAAAGTGGTGCTTCAGGTAAATTATTAGTGTTAACACAATGAGCAACATTGTGACAACTAAACATATGTAGCCATGAAGCTTAGCGGGAAGCTGGAGTGGGTGCTCAGCAGGGACTTTTCTAACTCTCTCACTAACTTCCTTAATGCCTGCGTCTTCTGACCATCTGCAAAACCAGCTGTTATCTTGGGACAACATTTTCATGGAAGCTCTTGGTTACAGGACTGATGGTTGTTGGTTTTTTCACTCTGTTACTAGGATGACCCATCTTCTGTGTTTGATTGCATTAAGTGGTGGGGTTGTTTGCAGTTCTGCATGCTGATTTGTATAATGGAGACCAAAAGCTGGTGATGGGCAAGGACTGGGCTTGATTAAATTGCAGAAGTTGATGGCACAGCATCCCTCTGTGTGCACTTGCAATGTTCCAGATCATTCCACCTCTTGGAGCTGGCGTAAGAGGGAAGTGGTTAGTTGAAGGCTGCATTTTAATCACTTGGAGCAATTATGTAATAATATTTCTTGTGTAGTCACAAGGGAATTCCTGTTGTGACTGCTTTTATGCTCCAGATGCCTTGTTTTCCTGCCGTTTGCTTGGCTCTCAACTTCCCACTTGGTTAGGGTTGAGTCATCTTCTTTCCAAAGTGATATGGCAATTGCTTTACCTGTTTGCCACTGGTGCAAACATTCTCATGCCAATTTGGCTGAGCCTCTAGCAAATTGTCCCTGCCAAAAAAGTGGAGCTCAAGCCAGAAGAGCCAAATGGTTCAGGGGCAAGGATTGGTTTGGTCTATGACTGGTGCTCTTTGCTCCTGCAAGGGGAGATATCTGTGCTTAACTGGTCTTCCTTCTCCTTTTTTTTATCGCAGTTCTGGCACTTTTCAGGGCACACCTTCATCTGATTCAGCTTGGTAGAAAATTTCCACTCAAAATAATTTTTTTCTTATTTTCCTGGGTGTTCTCCTGGGTTAATTGAAGTTAAATTGCTCGGTGCAGTAACATGTGCTTTAGTCTGTGGTGTTGCCTTGTGGGATTATTGCTGGTATCTGTAATTAGCCAGAAATGATAAAACAAACAAATTTCTTTGTGATAATAGTGATTATGAATTTGGCACAGTTTGCAGAATAATATTTCTTGGGGTAGAGGATAGGTGTACATTTTAAATGGACTTTCAGAATATAGTTATTAATTACTTTGAAGGGATCCCTCTGACAAGGTCCTTCCCAAAATAAGAACTGTACCACCCTTATCTTCTCCCATTTGTGCCTGTAATGTCATTTGTTTCTGCATATTCTCCAGCTGGCTGGCCTCTGCAAAGAGACTTTAGAAATGCTGATGCTTCTTTTTTTTTCCCTGCAACTGGCAGGATTTGTCTTGTCAGTGTTAGTTCCTGGCTGACTGGCTTCTACCTAGTCCCAAATCAATGAAAACCTTGAGTTATTGTACCCACTGCGGTAGCTGGGTCAGAAGTGGCAATATTGAAGCTACACCATAACTTTGTTTCCACTGAACAGATTGAAGGGTGTGTAGGGACCTGCAAGGCCTAACTTGCAGAGGGCAGAAAGTCTGTCCTAAATTTCTTTCAGCCAAGGCTTTGGAATGACTCTCACCTTCTAATGGATACTGAAGGGCTCAACAAGTCTCTGTGATCAGAGGTATCCAGAAATACTGCCAGACCAGAGCAAACACCTACTATGATTTTATTTCATGGCTTCCTCAGCTATGTGAGAGATCCCAAACTATTTTTTTCCCTTCTTCTCTCTGCAAGTTAGCTGATAAAGAGACAGTGGTTACTGCTCTGAGCCTTCACAGACTTGAAAAGTCTGTGTTAAAGAGGA